CTCTCCAAGACCTCCTTGGGTTCTCAGGCACTTAATTCTCCTGCGCCCTGCCCTGCCTCCAAGATCCTCCCACAGTGCTCTCCAGTCATGCCACTTACTGTGGCCAGCCTTCCCCCGTGGACACGGTGAAGAGGGTCAGCAGAGCCCACAGCACGTTGTCATAATGGAACTCATACTTCTTCCACTCTCGGTCCCGGGCTTTCACCTCGTTCTTCTCGTAGAGGAGATACTTGCCACTGTCACAAAGAGGGGGGCTGTTAGTCAATGGGGGAGGGCAGGTGTGGGGGGCCACCAGGGATTGGGGGAGGAAAATGGGCCCACCTACGCTTCCTCTGTGGCCCGAGAAGCAGTGGCCCCTGCTATTTCTCATTCTGAAACGTATCTGCTGCAAAGGTTTTTAATAAGGGATCGTGGACACATAATAATATCCCCAACCTCACAAAGGTGACGATTGGAAGGTTCAGCAACCAGCTTATGGCTCATTCTGGGGGACTGTGGCCGCAGCCACGTGGAGACAAATCCACAGGGTGGTGCCAGGGCCTTGCACCAGGTGGGCGAGTCGACTCAGAGCGAGCACCCACTTCCAGGGTGGGAGCCTCAGGCTCGGAGGGTTCTTGACCCGTCCCAGCAGAGAGACACAGGGCATGTTTCTGGGCTCCTTCAGCCAAGGGAGGCGGCTGCTGCTTCCTTTCACGGCCCTTTTCAGGGCTGGAAACAAAGGCTGGCCTCAGACTCTTAGCCAAATGGCTGGGATCCTTCCAATTTCAGGAACTGGCCACCAAAATAACAACAGGCTACCATGTACCATGTGGTAACACTTTACACGAGCAACAACAGCAATACTTACTCATGCTTAGTTTGTTAAAGGCTCAGCACTTCCCACGGGCTGGGCATGTGTGAAGAAGAGCCTACAATGGCAGGACCTTGGGTCCACAATCTCTTATCCACAACTCCAAAATCCAGAAAGCTCTGAAAACCAGACTTTTTTCTCCTAGCTCAGGGTTTGGCAAGTGACAGCCTACTGACCAAATCTGGCCCTCTGCCTGTTTCTTTCCCTCCTGTGAGTTAAGAATGGTCTTCACGTTTGTAAATGGTTGAAAACAAATCAAAAGAATGCATTTCATGACGTGTAAAAATTATATGAAATTCAAATTTGAGTTTCCAGGAACTGGAAGGCAGCCATACCCATTGAGTTAGGTATCGTCTGTGGCTCTTTCGTGCCACGACGGCAAAGCTCAGTTGTTGCAAAAGAGACGGTATGGCCTCCAAAGCTGAACGTATTGACTATTTGGCTCCTTAAGACAGAGTTTGCTGATCCCTGACCTGATTCACTTGGTAGCAAAACCTGACCTGACGATGTAAGTCTCTTTATAATCTTTATTTTTCTTAGTTCATGCAGATAGTCACATGCTTCACTGTAGAAATATGGTGTTTGGTTGTATGAATGTCTTAGGCTCAGTTGGGGTGTTCAGTCTTATGTGGTATATGGACTGTGCAACTGTCTAAAAACTGAATTAATTCTGAATTCCGAAACACATCTGGTTTCAAAGGTTTTAGATGAGGGGCTGTGGATGTGTATTGATATCCCCAACTTGGTAAACGTGGCTGTCGAAAGGTGCAGTAACCAGCTTAGGGGTCATCCTGTTGTGGTGGGCAGTGACTCAAGTTCCAAAACTCTTTTCCTTTCTACTCCAGATCCAAGCTGCTTGCAATCCAGTTGCTGTCAAACGCCTGTCACCCTAGTCCCAAGCCCAAGTGGCCAGCACCACCCCCCACCTGCCAGCCCCAATGGGG